GGTGGGTGCCTCTGCTCTCCCCCCTTCCCTCCCACTCGCCTGCCTGCGTAGTGCCCTTCACGCATGAGGACACCGCTCCTGAGGAGGAGGACGAGGAGGAGGAAGAGGAGGAGGAGGGCGAGGAGGGACAGTTGCGGGCCCCGGAGGTGAGGGCGGGGCCGCGAGCCCAGGGATGTTGGGCCAGGAAGGATGGAAAGGAGGGACCAGGTAGGCCTGCTGGGGCCTGGAGCCTTGGGTCTGAGGGAGGAAGGCTGGATCCTGCATCTGAGGGAGGAGGGCTGAGGCATGGATCCCTGCGCCTGAAGAAAGAAGTTACCCATGCATTCCTCCTGCTTCTTAGGGGTTCTAAGGAGAAGGCAACAGGGTCTGGCAGCAGAGTGGGAACTGTGTGGCTGGTATTCCTAGCCCAACTGCCTGTAGGTTCCTAAGAGAGCACACAGCCCTCCCCACCACCTCCTGGCACCAAGTGGGGTCTAGGGAGGGAAGCCTACTCCCATTGAAGGGGTGGGCTCACCCTGGCCACATATGCCCAGTTCCCTGAAAGGGGAACAGAAGAGGCCAGTTCTAGAAGGCGAGGCTTCTTCCCAAGACATCCTCAGGCCTACCTATCCCAACCCCAGCCCCCACCCCAGTGCTGGTCCGGCTCTCAGATGCATGCTCTTCTCCTCAGCTTCAAGCCACAGAGGCCAGACTGGACCCGCAGGTCTCAGAACTCTGGGGGCTCTGATTTAGACAAGATCCTTCCATATCGCCAAAGGACCAGAGATCAAGCCAGCTCACTTCAGAGCCAAAGAGATGGATTTTTAAAGTTAATAAAGATCGGGCTCTTAAGAACGAACACTCATGTCCTGGCTCTTTATGCCACAGTCGCCAAGGCAACAGGCTGCCTCTAGGTTTCCCTCTAGCCTTCTGTGCCCTTGGTGCTTTTCCAATTGCCTTTCTTCCCTCCAGTGGAGATGAAATCCAGAGCCTCCCACATTCTAAGGAAGCACTCCACCATTGAGCCATACCCTCAGCCGGTCACTGGGAGATTCTAGGCAGGGGCTGTGCCACTGAGGCATGCTCCAGGTCCTCTTTTCTCTTTTTTATTTTAATGCAGGGTGTCATTTAATTGCCCAGGGTGATTCTGACCTTTCTAGCTCTGCCCCAGCCTTCCAGATACCATGATGGCAGGTGTACCCAAGCCTGTCTTGATCAGCTTGGATGTGCTGTCCTTTGGGGATGGCAACCAGCCTGTCTCCTCCTTTCTGTAGGTAATGTTCAAAAGAGTTCAGGCATAGGGCATGAGATTCACCTCTGACCATTGTAAATGTCATGGCAAAGTAGTTCCCTCAGCAAACACCATCTTCCAAGATGGCTACCTCAATGGTATGTGATCTTTAAGGCTGCCTTGTGGTGGTAGCCATCCCCTACCCCAGAGTGACTAACCCCATTCACAAGGGGACAAGAATTACAGATTTTGAAAGGATGGACACATGATCATTTGAGTAGTGGTGTTTTATCACAATGATCATTGTAGACAGATGACTGCCATGCCAGGGGTTGCAGGACTGGGGTCCAGGCTCTGCTGACTTTTCTAACAGATGATGAGCTGTCATTGTGGCACTGCAGGAGAAATGAGAGGTGGGTGAGGCAGAGGTGGGCTGCACCATGTCTCTTCCTTAGCATCACTCTAAACGCATGAATGCATGTGACCAGTGGTGGCAGGGGGTGTGGGGGAAGTTCTCTAACACTAGTGGAGTCATGGTCATTCCTCTCTGTCCTTCAGCTGGTCTTGAACTCAAATATGCAGCTGAGAATGTTCTTGAACCCCTGATCCTCCAGCTTCCATCTCCCAAGTGCTGGGATCACAGTCATGTGCCACCATGCCTGGGTTACAGAGTGCTGGGAAAGGAAGCATGGCTTTATGCTAGCTAAGCACTCTACCCATCAGCCACATCTCCAGGCCCACACCGTTTCCTGTCTTTTTCTGAGAAAGGTCTCATGGCATCCAACTTTCTATGGAGTTGAGGCTGGCCTCAATCTCTTGATTGTCCTGCATCCAGCACCTAAGAACTAGGGCTACAGTTGTACTTTGTCATGCCTGGCCATTTTATTTTGCATTTCTGCACTAAAATGTATTCATTTATTTTATGTGTGTGTGCCTGCATGAGTTTATGTACGTCATGTGCATGCAGGAGCCCATGGAGGTCAGAGGGGGCTTTGGAACCCCTGGAACTGGAACTATAGATGGCTGAGAGCCACCATATGAGTTCTGAGAACTGAACTCAGGCCCTCTAGAAGAGCAGCCAGTGCTCTTAACCTCCAACCACCTCTTCAGCCCTTGTTTTTTCAATTTATAGTTTCGTTTTTTTTGTTTGTTTGTTTGTGGGGGTTTCTTTTGGTTTTTTAAAACAGGGTTTCTCTGTATAGCCTTGGATGTCCTGGAATTCACTCTGGAGACCAGGCTGGCCTTAAACTCAGAGATCCACCTGCCTCTGTCTCCCAAGTGCTGGGATCAAAGGCATGCGCCATCACTGCCCGGCTTGATTTTTTTTTTATAGTATTTTGACAAAATCATACTATGTAACTCAGGCTGATTTAAAGTTTGCTCTGTAGCATAGGTTGGCTTTAAACTCATAATTCTCCTACCTCAACTTCCTGAATGTTGGATGACAGATGTGCATCACACCCCCGACAAATTAATTTCATTTTAAATCCCAAATGGGGACATCCTGAGAAACTACCAGCTATCAGAAGTCAGTGGGTACATGCAATGGGGGTACATCTGAGATGACTTAGTCACCCACAAAGAAGACTGCAAAATAAATGGTGGGTGAGCCTGAATCAGAACAAAGTCACTGGGCCTGGGGGGGGGGTGTGATCCCAGAATCATCCTTGAGGGGCCAAAGTCCCTGTGTGCTAAGCTGTCATGGGACCAGTCTATATCAGTATGGTTAAGTGTCTCCAAAGCAGGGCAGGACTATGCTAATGCGTGCCCTGGGGCACCTGGTCTGCTTCCTCCTGCAGTGTGGACTGAAGCTAGCAAAGGAAATGGACAGTTCAATTCTAGGGTGGTTCAGCACACACAGAGGCCCAGCGTAGTGATCAAATGTGGCCGCTGTGGCCCTACCAATGGTGTAGGATGTCTGGGATGCAATGTGGATGAAAATGGGAGGACTCAGGCTAGAGTTGGGGGCAGGGCTGCAATACAATAATTCCAGACTGAAGAGACTGTGTAGGGGAGGGTCACCTCAGCTCTGACTCCAGGGACAAAGGTCAGGAGGAGGTTGACAGAGGATTTGAGAAGAGAAGGTGAAGTGTGAGCTGGTACTGGTGCTTTCCAACCCCAGGGCCTTTGCAGGACCTGTATCCCCTTCCTGCCTGGGGCATCTGGGTAGGTTTGCCAAGGGACCTGGATGAGGCTAGCCGGTGTGGGACCATTCCCTCCTCACCTCGGACATCCAGCTTGCACTCAGCAAGGGCCTCCCCTAGCTCATTGAAGGCACGGCAGGAATATGTCCCGGCATCAAAGGGTGAAGGCCGGCGGATGTTCAGCGTCAGGATGCCCTGGTAGTTTGTTATGAGGAATTTGGGATCTTCATGGATTTCCATCTTATTCTTCATCCATACCACCTTCGGCTAGGGAGGCGAAGCAGAGAGGAAACTGATTTAGAGGGCTGCCCTGGACAGAAGCCATGCCACTGCCTAGGTGGCTGGGTGGACTTGAACCAATCACTTTACTTTCTGACCCGTTTCTTCTTACAAACAGGTACATGACACCTAGTACACAGAGAAAGTGGGACCTCCCATTGTTCTCTAGATGAAGGTTACATCTTAGGGAGCCCGGTTTGGCCACCATTACTCCCCTCTCATCTCCTTCTCACCAACAGGGTAACTATTCCTGGGACAGACCAGATGACAGGGTTCCCATTCAGGGCCCTGCCACCATCTGTCCCCTCTTCCAGCTCTGCCCTTCCTGCCTGTCCTACCCCTGCCTTGCCAGTCATCTCCTGGACAGGGATGCCTCTTTCGACGTCTCAGAGCTGCCGTGTTTCTCTGTCATGCTTGTCACACAAGTGTATATTATCTGTGAGATTTTACTTCAATGTCATTTTCTCCCCCAATGCAAACAGAACTTTTTTGTCCCATTTGTGAAGCGCATATGAAGTCCAGGAAAATATTTTTATAGTATCTGTGAGATTTTACTTCAATGTCATTTTCTCCCCCAATGCAAACACAACTTTTTTGTCCCATTTGTGAAGCGCATATGAAGTCCAGGAAAATATTTGTGGATTAACGATGTATTCAGCAAATGGAACGAATGAATGAGCTGGGAAAAATGAGTTAATTGGCTCATGGTCAAATGAGATGGTGGATGGATTTATGAATGAATGAATAAGTATACTCAGGCTTTGTGGTGCACACCTATAATGCCAGCACTCAGAAAGTAGAGGCAGGAGGATCTTGTGTTCAAGGCCATCCTATGCTACATGAATCCTTATCTTAAAAAAGGAAAAATGATGAAGCCTGGAGAAATGGTTCAGCAGTTAAAAGTGCTTGCTGCTTTTCCAGAAGATCTGAGTTCAGTCCCAGCATCCATGTGGGGGTGCTCACAACTGTCTATGATTCCAGCTCCAGGAAATCTAATGCCGTCTCTGGCCTATAGGAGTACTGCATACACAAGGTACACATACAGACACACATAAATCTTAAGACAGTTTTAAAGAAAAGAGTGAACTTGTGACTGGGTGACTCAGGAAAACCCCAGGGATCAGTGCAGGTATAAATACCACTCCCAGCCAGGCGTTGGTGGTGCATGCCTTTAATCCCAGCACACGGGAGGCAGAGTCAGGTGGATCTCTGTGAGTTCGAGACCAGCCTGGTCTACAAGAGCTAGTTCCAGGACAGTCTCCAAAGACACAGAGAAAACCTGTCTGGAAAAACCAAAACAAACAAACAAACAAACAAAAATAACACCAGTCCCCAGGTTTCCCAGGGAGTGACACTGTCCTCAGGACAGGAGAGTTGGGCTTCATGGATGAGGTGTACCTGGCAGTGAAGAGACAGAGAAGGGGCAAGAAATTCAGAATTGTCTGACACTTGGCCTCTGCCTGAAGAGGCTGCAGAGTGGAGCTGCTGGTGTGTGTCTGGGGCCCATGTGCTGCTAAAGGCTTCCCTGAACCCCACCCTGGCACCTTTGGGTGGCCTCTGACAGCACAGTTGAGAGCTGCAGCATATCCTGCTACCACTACCCGGTCTGTCAGCGGGGTCAGGAACTTGGGGGCTGTTCGGAAATCATGCTCCCTGTATTCCAGTGGCTTTAGGGTGATTCCTAGGGGGAGAAGAGACATCTATAAGGTGAGTCCCACTCCAACTCCAGCCAGTTGCAGCTCAAAGCCAGGCAGCCAGGCTCTGTACCTGTCTTGAGGATTCGAGCTGTGTTCTTGGAGACACCAGGTGAGTCGCTGAGACCGCAGATGTTCTCGCTGAAGATTCGGAAGTAGTACTCATTACCCACAATGAGATCGGACACTGTGCAGCTGGTGTGGCGATTGTGTTCATAAACATTGAACCACTCCTGGGATCAGGGAAGGCAAGCACATGGAGAACACAGGTGGGAACAGAAGAAACAGCCTGTCTTTCCAATCCTGCCCACTCACTCTCAATCGCCCGGTCTCCTAGCCTCAGTCTCCCAGCTGTGAAACCGACAGCTCCCCTCCACTCTGCCAAGGCCACCAGCATTTCCTCCAGTCCCCCTAGCCCCCCAAACCCCTCAGTCCCTTCCCAGCCCCCCAGGGCCCTCTTTTCTCTCACCATTGTTTTCTTGTCAGCCTTCTGGACCAAGTAGCCTGTGACCTCACTGTTCCCATCATCCCTGGGTGGCTGCCACTCCACCAGTGCGTTGGTGGCCCACACCTCCTTCACCATCACGTTCTCTGCTGGCCCTGCCTTTTCTGGAAAGACGGTTGGGGGTTACACATCATCCAAGGGGTCCGGATGCCTGGCTCTGCTCCTTCCTTCCTCTCCTGATTTTTTTTTCTTCTTGCTTTTTGTAGCCCAGGCTGGTCTCAAACCCACTATATATCCCAGGATTATATTAAACTTCTGATCTGCCTACTGCTACCCATGAGTGCTGAGATTATAGGCATTATAGGCATATGCCACCACACTTTGTTTATCCAGTGCTGGCGATGGACCCTAGGGTCTCATGTATGTTTGACAAGCACAGTACCAACTGAGCCCCTGCCCCTGCCCCTGCCCTGCCTTTCACCCTTCCTGTTTCAAACCTCCCTTCCTTCCCTTTGGCCGGGTTCCTCCAATCCTCCACCTCCAGCCTCTCCCCTACTTCCTCTCCTCCCACTCCTTACTGGACTCCTCCACAGGCTCCTGACCCTGGTCTATCCCTCCTCCCCCAGGCTCCAGCCTCGCACCCACAACCCGGATGCGGATGGTGGCAGTGTCCTTCATGTTCTCAATCTGCACACTCAGCTCATACTCTCCAGAGTCAGAGCGGGCCGCCTGGCGCACAAAGAACACTGTGTCGAAGTCACTGGTCCGTATGTTCACACGGGAGGTATCCAAGGGAGCCCCACCCTTTGTCCATACCACCTGAGGCCGGGGCTTGCCCTGGGACAGAGAATAATGTCAGGTGAGTCAGCTCTTCAGGCCTGAGGGCCTGGCTACATCACTGGCCCTGGCCTGATACCATCCTGGGCTTGACCCTAATCCAGGCTCTGATCCTTACCAAACTCTGGCCATGGCTCTGTTTGATCCCAACCCTATCTCTGACCTCCACCCTGACCCCAGCACAAACAATGGTACTGGCCCCGAACCTGACCCTGTCCCCAGTCCTTAGCTTGACCCCAACTCCAACTGTGTCCATAGCCCCAACCCAGGCCCTGACTCTGACCCTGATGCCAGCTCTGACCCTGGTCCTGTTCTTAATCCCAACCCCAGCACCACCCCAATCCCATGTGAGTACCTGGAAGGGGATAACAAGGTTGAGGGCTTCCCCCACTTTTCGGATATAGGTCTGCCGAAGGTGTCGAGGGAGGCGGATCTTGGGTTGCTCTGAGGAGATGAACAGAGGGGTTGGTACTGGGCTGGGAATCACTAGAGGGGGATGACATCATCTGAGGGACCCACACTGAAGGACACTTAAGTAGATCCTCAGGAGGGCTAAGTCAGGGACTGGGTGTCACTCACCCACAATCTCCCTAATGGTGACCGGCTGAAGGAGGGTGGCTGGTTCACTGCGCCCTGCAATGTTGACCCCAACAACTCGGAAGAGGATCCTGGCTCCAGTTGGGAGATCCTTGACAGTGAAGCCACAGCGTTCCACAGGTTCCTTGTTGGCAGGGATCCATTCCTCAGCTGGAAAGAGGGGTCCCGTGGGTCGGGGCCTCTGCACTGCCTTCCTCAGTGTCCCCCAATAAAAAGTCACACCACACAGACACAGTGAAAACCAGCCTGTGTGGCAGTAGCGCTGGTCAAGCATACCTGAGGATGCTTGGAGGACCATAGCCATCACATCATGGAGACAGCACACCTGCCTCACCACTGTGACCCCCATTTCAAGGACAAAGACAGGGGCCCAGGTAGGTTAAGAAGCTATCTGAAGTCACACAGCTCAAGCATGGTGCAAGAAATTTCAGGGGTAGGAGAGTAGATTGTTAGCCAGCTGGAGAATGAAGGAGGGAATGCTAGGAAGAGATGGGGGATGAAACTGATAGGGGCCACATTATCACTTCCCTGTGTGACTTGATTTGATGGCCACAGTTCCAGATCAATATGAGGGTTCTGAACCATAGAGACCAAAACCACACAGCAAAAGGCAAACACTCGGGGTGGGGGCTATGCTGGGGCTGCTTGATCACTGATATGGCTGGGCAGACTGTATCAGTGTGGTGTCCTGACTGCCAGATAATGGATGCATGGAAGACGTCTACAGCCAGGGCTGTGAATCCCATGGCAGGCTCTGTGTGTATGTGTGTGTGTGTGTGTGTGTGTGTGTGTGTGTGTCCGTGTGCATAGGTAAGTAAATGAATATCTGAGTATGAGTGCATGGCTCTAAGGAGTATGTGTGCACTAGTGTGAGTGTGTGAGTGTGCATGCCAGTGTGCTTCGTGAATTGTGTGGGTGTGTGCAAGTGCTTGAGTGTGACTATGAGCGTGTTTGTGGGGGCATTCTTCAGAGGTGGGGATGGGAACAATGGAGCTGACAGCTACATAGATGGTTGGGAAAGAAGAACATTAAAAAAGGAAAGAGAAGAGGGAGGAAGAAGAGCAAGGGAAGGAGGTAGAGGAAAAATACAAGAGAGGGAGGAACAGAGAAATAAGGAGTCGCTGCTGCCCAGAGATGGACAGAGGAGGGGACTGTACGCAGGCCTGGGGGCTCCAGCCTAACCCGGGCTCTGTGCCAGTCCCTGTGCAACTCCCAAGTCCATTCCCTGGTTCAACACAGAGCCAAGTGCCACTCACAGCCCTCCAGGCAGTACTCCACCAGGTAGCCATCTATGCCGCCAGCGCCAATCCTGTCTGGAGGCCTCCACTTGAGTGTGGTGGTGGTGTCTGTCACATCCTCCACTGTGAGGTGCTGGGGTGCACTTGTGGGGGCTGCAGGGATCCAGAGAGAGGACCAGAGGTCAGCAAGAGAGGGCAGGGGTCAGAGGCTAGAATTACTGTGATGGCCAAAAGCCAGTGAGCAAGAAAGGGCATGCAGGAGAATAAAACAACACCCGAAACAAAAGACCAGTGTGGTGGCGCACATCTTTAATCCCAGCACTGGGGAGTCAGAAGCAGGAGAGTCTCTGTGAGTTCAAGGCCAGTCTGGCCCACATACCAAGTTCCAGACCAGTTAAGACTGCACAGAGAATGTGTTTCAAAAAGACCAAAAAAAAAAAAAAAAAAAAAAAAAAGGAGGAGGGGGTACTGGGGCTATAATTCAGACGTAAAATGCCTACCTAGAATCTGCCGGTGAGAGGCTGGGGATGTGGCTCAGTAGTAGAGCCAGTATCTGGAATCCCTCAGTGAGGGGCTGGAGTTTTGTGCAAGGTCTTGGGTTCCAGCTCCAGGACCGACCACACACACACACACACACACACACACACACACACACACACACACGCGCACACGCACATGCACACGCTGCTCCTATCTCTGGGGGTCAAAGGCCAGGTGTGGGACTGGAGATGGATGTGGGAGAGGGTGGGTGGGTGGGAGAGGCCAGTGGGGAGGAGGGAGGGACAGGCTAGAAAAC